CTCATCACAGAAGATATAGACAGAAAACAACGGCCGAAACGTTGTGAATATGGCAATGAAGATGAGGATACCAGTCCGAATAATGTAAATAATGCAATAATAATACCTCAATAGAGAGATAAGAGAAATATGACATAAAGGCCGAAGCGTACAACGGCCGAAACGTTGTGAATATGGCAATGAAGATGAGGATACCAGTCCGAATAATGTAAATAATGCAAGTAATCATAATACCTTCATCATAACAGAGATATAGACAGAGAAATATGACATAAAGGCCGAAGCGTACAACGGCCGAAACGTTGTGAATATGGCAATGAAGATGAGGATACCAGTCCGAATAATGTAAATAATGCAAGTAATCATAATACCTCATCACAGAGATATAGACAGAGAAATATGACATAAAGGCCGAAGCGTACAACAGCCGAAACGTTGTGAATATGGCAATGAAGATGAGGATACCAGTCCGAATAATATAAATAATGCAAGTAATCATAATACCTCATCACAGAGATATAGACAGAGAAATATGACATAAAGGCCGAAGCGTACAACGGCCGAAACGTTGTGAATATGGCAATGAAGATGAGGATACCAGTCCGAATAATGTAAATAATGCAAGTAATCATAATACCTCATCACAGAGATATAGACAGAGAAATATGACATAATGGCCGGAGCTTACAACGGCCGAAACGTTGTGAATATGGCAATGAAGATGAGGATACCAGTCCGAATAATGTAAACAAAAGGATAATAAATAATGCAAGTAATCATAATACCTCATCACAGAGATATAGACAGAGAAATATGAATATGGCAATGAAAGGGATACCAGTCCGAATAACAACGGCCGAAATCACAGAGATAGAATATGGATGAGGATACCGAAATAATATAAATAATGCAAATCAAAGATGAAGATGAGGATACCAGTCCGAATAATGTAAATAATACCAGCAAGTAATCATATTACCTCATCACAGAGATAGAGACAGAGAAATATGACATAAAGGCCGAAGCGTACAACGGCCGAAACGTTGTGAATATGGCAATGAAGATGAGGATACCAGTCCGAATAATGAAAATAATGTAAATAATCATCACAGAGATATAGACAAAATATGACATAAAGGCCGAAGCGTACTCATCTCGTTGTGAATATGGCAATGAAGATGAGGATACCAGTCCGAATAATAAAATAATGAGATAGAGACAGAGAAATATGACATAAAGGCAAGTAATCAATATGGCAATGAAGATGAGGATACCAGTCCGAATAATGTAAATAATGCAAGTAATCACTCATCACAGAGATAGGATCATATGACTCAGAGATATAGACAGAGAAATATGACAAAAAATCACAGGCCGGAGAGTACAACGGCCGAAACGTTGTGAATATGGCAATGAAGATGAGGATACCAGTCCGAATAATATAAATAATGCAAGTAATCATAATACCTCATCACAGAGAGATATAGAAATAGATAAAGACAGAGGCTGAAACGTTGAATATGGCAATGAAGATGAGGATACCAGTCCGAATAATGCAAGTAATCATATTACCTCATCACAGAGATATAGACAGAGAAATATGACAAATGGCCGGAGCAATGAAAGATGAGGATACCACAACAGCCGAAACGTTGTGAATATGGCAATGAAGATGAGGATACCAGTCCGAATAATATAATTAATGCAAGTAATCATAATACCTAATCTCAGAGATTTATACATATATGGGTAGAACAGTCACTCAACTTTGACCCCCAACCTAATTTTCAGTGAGGGAAGATAAAACATAATTCGAGTAGAATGAATCACATGAATGTAGAATGTTTCCTCATAAGGAAAGCTCTAAAATTAATATTATTATTAGTGACGTAGAGAACAGATATTCCGCCTTGATCCCAGCCCAACTGTCAGTAATGAAGATAAATTAAATCGAGTCTTAGATTCTGTTTCAACATTTCCTATTCAGTTGTTTTCTGTAAACTCTCAAAACACCTAACAATTCATCATAGCTTCAATATTCGATGTAACAAATAGATCACGTTTTGTATCGACCGCCATAATTAATACTGTAAACTATAAAATATCTTCATGAAACCTTATTAAAAATTTGAAAGTAGGCATGATTTCAATGTTTCAAATTATATTTAAATAATGGATAAAAATTGATGGTTAAATAAAGTGTGCCAATTTATGGCGCATCATTCTGTAAACAGATTGTCTCCGAAAATGTATTTACAGTTTAAATGACAATAAATGTCGTGTTTATTGAATTGCAAGCAAGATTAATGGGTAAAAATGAAATAAGATTAACGGTTTAAATTTAATATTAAATGAAATTAAATTCGTGATTATAAATATTCAAACAGGCGACCACCCTTTGGAAATCGGAGGACGTTTTTCAGCAACTGGTTTTCAATTGTGGGGCTGGTAATTGTCCAGGGTCTTCCTGAATATTGCTTATGAAATTTGTGAACTGTTTCAATTACTTCAAACTTGTTTCTGGTATGGGCAAATTGCCTGTCGCGTTGGTAGATCTTCTAAATGGTCTTTGCTCTTCTTTGATGTTTTCCTGCTTCTTTTATGACAAATATTCAAAACCTAGACGTACGCCTGCCATTATTAAGGTACATTGCATCTGAAAAAAGAAACAATTCAAGACATTATAGGAAATCAAAAGGTGAGTGAGTATATTTTTGGGACATTACAATTGAGCTTCTCGCTAATGGTTTTTTTCCAGACAAGTTTGATCTTCAAAATTTAAATAGAATGTCAGTCGCTATTTACTGCTTTTATGATTGAACTTCTACTGATAACTTTCTTTTTTTCTCTCTCACCATATATATATATATATATATATATATATATATATATATATATATATATATATATATATATATATATATATATATATATATATATATATATTCTGAGGATGTCTGTAGGAACAGACGAAAGTTTGTAAAATTAAAAAGACCTTATGCAACTGGAATTTATAAACAGGGATCATATCATTCATATACAGGTTCGGGGTTAGTGTATCTTATTAAAATTGTTTGCGAAGATGTATTCTCGCCATTTAAATCATTAACCTCTATATTTGTTTTTTGTATGAATGATTCATGTAATTATAAATTAAATTGCACGTATAATCGAAATTAAAATAACTGATCCAACATGCAACTTTCGGATAATAAGTGTGACATTACTGTAATTATTGAACAATATAGTTCATGCCATATTCACGGAAAATCTACCAGTAAAAAAGAATTCTCATTGCTATATTTGTACAAAAACGCACAACCTTAAAATTTAAAACCTTACAATTTAAAATTCAAACCTGACATAGATAGATAGATAGATAGATAGATAGATAGATAGATAATAGACTGGGTACATATATAACTAGCTAGTTATCTAGATATGTACAGACTGATATAGCTAGCTAGCTAGTAGCTGCCTAGTGAGATAGATATGAACAGAATGAGATAGATAGATAGATAGATAGATAGATAGATAGATAGATAGATAGACTGGGTACATAGATAACTAGCTAGTTAACTAGATATGTACAGACTGATATAGCTAGCTAGCTAGCTAGTAGCTGCCTAGTGAGATAGATATAAACAGAATGGGATATATAGATAGATAGATAGATAGATAGATAGATAGATAGATAGATAGATAGATAGAAATGTAGATAGGTAGATAATGAGCATAGTGAGATAGATAGATAGATAGATAGATAGATAGATAGATAGATAGATAGATAGATGCATTTATATGCATGTCATGCTTGACACCAAATTGTTCTGATATATCTAAACCCTCAGCTCTATACAACAGATTACTCAGGTCAATGGTTAAGATATATTTAATCGAATGAGGTCTCTGGATCTTGGCAATGATCATGATTCTTCAAACCGTTTAGACTGGCCATACATAATTACAAATAACTGTATCTAGTAATATAAATCACATCACTTGCAGTCTTTCAAACACAGCCATAACGAAAACGGTTGCCACATATAAATCTACGTTCGAATACTGCAATTAGTAAGTGGGGGAGCGGGAAAAAAATTCATATTGGAAAGAGCGTTAACAGCTATTGGACTTGAGAAATCTAATTCGCCCCTCAAAAGATTTTGGGAGAAAGATTATATATATATATGAACCGATAGAATCAGTGGCTGATTAGTCGATAAATACTGAATGTTTCGTTATAAGTAAACAGTAAAATATTCCCATTAATTTATTAACTGAAGACTTAAGTGAATGAACTGCAATTTTACGTATGAAGTATGTAGTTTTTCGTCTTATTTATGCGCTCAATGATGAAATTGCACCGTGCGACACGGCTGTCTTTGTAAGCAGGTAAATTAATATAATGGACATAAGCAGGAAGTTAGGTACTTTGCTGCAATTCAGAGGTCGGAGTTCGGCACAATAATAACCGCTCTTACTTTCGGGTCGATATTCTTAAATATCCTAATTTATAGTATATATATATATATATATATATATATATATATATATATATATATATATATATTATACGAGGATGGACTGAAAAGTTATGAGGCTCATAATCAAGGTGTAATGCTAGAGCCGTGAAACCTATAATGCTTTAATTTCAACTCTGAATAACTGCTGTGTTTCTAAATGTAACAGTTGCTGTTCAGTCAGAGTTTCCATATTCGAAAACAGGTAGTATTACAATTAACACTAAGAGACGATACGTTGTGAATATGGCAATGAAGATGAGGATAACAGTCCGAAATAATGTAAATAATACCTCATCGAATATAATGTAAATAATGCAAGTAATCATAATACCTCATCTCAGAGATATAAACAAAGAAATATGACATAAAGGCCGGAGAGTACAACGGCCGAAACTTTGTGAATATGGCAAGGAAGATGAGGAGAATCGGTGTTTCAAAGTGATATAGCCGTCAGCCACACCATACGCACATCAAAGCTTACAAGACCTGATATTCAAAAGTGGTCACCCATCTGGGTACTGACCAAGCCCGACGTTGCTTAACATCGATGACCATACGCGAACAGGTGCTTCAATGTAATATAATCGTCAGCCATACCACAGGCGCATCAAAGCTTACAACTTATATTCTCCTAAGCTGTTTATCAAGCACTCCTAGAGATCCCAGTCTGCCCTACGATATCCCTCATTGATGGCGGAGGTTATACGGATACATAACTATCCCAAGGATATTTGCACGACTACGATTTAAATTCGACTCGTCAGATTCTGGTTTTCTTCTGATTTTTACACTGTCCGTACATCCATATTTAACATACGCAACAAATTAGTCCGGGATTTTCACTCGAACCGCTATTTTCCAGTCTCTGTGCAGAAAACCGTTACACAACGTTACGAGTTTTGGAAATGGAGTTCTTTTTTTTTTTTAATTCAGAACACAACAGCCCATCCTATGTTACTTGCGTGAAATATTCTACGCATATAATGACAAGATATTTATTTTTCTAAAGGTTCGTAAAGCAAATAATAAAATACAGAAAGTGAATACCACACTATTTGTTTACTTATTTTTTGAGAGTTGAAGATGAAGTTAAATTGTTCGCTTTTAAAGAAATATATATAGATATATTAATTCTCTTAAATGGGAAATTTAATATTATATTTTAGATAAGAAATAATTTTCATTTATTTACAATTTTCAACCATATAAATCATTATCTGGAGTGTTGGAAAATTTTAGTTTTTAGCAGCATATAAGTTTGTATACAGGTGTATATAAGTTTGTACACACTATTCATAGATAGACCCACACATACTCATTTACAGTTGCTACTCGCTAATTATTTTGTTTATATCCACACTTATATATATATATATATATATATATATATATATATATATATATATATATATATATAAAAAACAATATATTACATTGAATATAATCCAATTCATCAGACCTACAAATTCAAAAGAAATCGGATTTCTTTTTGAATTTGCAGGTCTGATGAATTGGATCGTGATTATGATTCCAATGTAATAATTTATAACCATGGAATATTAGTGTTTGAGCCTTTTATATTATATTCTTGCTCTGTCCTGGACATCGAGTTCTACCTGGATTCTATCCTCTTGGGAATTTATATATATATATATATATATATATATATATAATATATATCCTCAATCCAAATTTCTATCCATTACTCCACGTGCCTCCATTCAAATCCCTTACATACGATTACCTGCTAATACCCTTGGGAAAGGTGTGAATCTTCTTCTCTCTCCAGCTATGGGTAAATAGCAGGCCATACCAGGTTCTATAGCCTTGGCTGTAAACTGGTCTAGAAGAAGATCAATTCTGAATTCAAAACCTGCGGAAGGTCGTTTAGGGACCTTGTGACACGTAGTGCACCATGTCTCTATTTCGGCCCTTCAAAAAATGTGGATAGTCCTGCACGAAACCTTCACCACTATAATCGAATCTCATGTGTTGTTGTTGGGCTGTTGGTTTCCTATGAACTGATCTGCTTGACCCTCTTATGTCGAATTCGACGGGAGAGTCGATTATATATATATATATATATATATATATATATATATATATATTATATACATGTTTCATTAAATAATACAGACAAGTGATGTGTATTTATTTTATGTAAATTCTTTTCATAACGTCTGATAAGCTTTATAATATTCTCATTGATCGAAGAAAGAAAATCACAGCATTGATCCATATTTTTTAATCCAATCTAAGCTTTCGGCTTAAATAAGCCATTGTCAAAGGTGTTAATTACTGTACACTATATTAAGTAAAATACGGACAAGACAGTGATGATAGTCTGTTATTGTTTACATGGATGATTTCCAAGCAACGATAAACACATGCATATAAGACGCTAGAAGCGAAAATCGCACCGCAGCTCATGGCGTCCGACATGACCACGCGATAGTGAATTCGAGAAGTATTAAGTATGGGAAACCGTTGGTATAAACCAGTTATTTCTGTTACGAATTATAGACATTTAAGGATATTTGTAGAGATTCCATAGTTGTTTTTGTTTAGGTTAGGTTTTAACTGTTTGATGTACATAGCTTCAAGGATATATATGTGTGTATGTATTTACAAGGGTCAGCTCAAATGTTGATATTGTGAATTAGACCAAATGAGACCTAATTTTCAACAGTCCTGACTGTGGCCTACACAATTTTTCCGTCAGTGTTACAGTACCTGGATGCCACTGGTGAGGAAGCTTTCATCCCGTTACCCGAAATGTCAACAACAATAGATATGACACACCCCTCAATTCGAAACTGGTTACCAGTCAAGTGATTTTTTTTCATTCCGGGGAACAGATTATTGCCAGATGGGGTCACAATCGATTACCCATCTATCTACTGATGTGGCTTAACGTCAATGACCGTACAAGAACCGGTGTATCAACGTAAAATGGTCGCTAGCCACACCAGTCGCGCATAAAAGCTTACAGCATCTAATATTCAAAAGCAGTCACCCGTCTGAGTACTGACCAGGCTCGTCGTTGGTTAACTCCGATGACCATACGAGAACTAGTGTTTTAATGTAATATGGCCGTTAACCGCACCTCTCTCACATCATCGCTTACAGCGCCTGATATTCCCAAGTAGTTACCCATATGGGTACTGACCAGGCTGTACGTTGACCGTACGAGGACAAGAGTTTCAACGGAATATGGTCGTTAGCCATATCACTCGCACATCAAAGCTTACAGCCCCTGATATTAAAAAGTGGTCACACATCTGAGTACTGACCAGGCTCGACGTTGGTTAACTCCGATGACCGTACGAGGACAAGTGTTTCAACGTAATATGGTCGTTAGCCACATCACTCGCACATCAAAGCTTACAGCTCCTGATATTCAAAAGTGGTCACCCATCTGGGTACTGACCAGGCTTAACTTCGTAGTAGTGCGGGTTTTTCAACGTGATTTAACCCTTATCACAATCCAGCTTACTGCATCTAGTATTTCCAAGCGGTAACCAATCTGGTTACTGACCTGGCTCGAAGTTGGTTAACACTGGAGGCCGTAAAGATACCGCTGTTTCAAATTTATATAACCTTAAGACCAGAGTATCGGAGAGACAGGAAAAAACAACATTTACTAAGAGTTAAATTTACCAATAGCTTGGCGGAAGAGACGTGGAATCATACCTCTCTCAGAACGTAACTGACATTCAAATTAATCACTCCGATTCCTCAGTCTGAGCCTCTATATCATTTCATCATCACTAGTTAGATGTAAATAGCTTTGTAAAGGTATGAAACCATCCCTAATCCTCCCAGTGGTTCAATAGCATGAGAGATTGGACCCTATTGCCTTGGTTGGTATCCAGACTACCGCAGAAGGAAATGGCTGAGTAGTGCGGAAAAAAAACAAAAACTTCTGTCTAGCCAGTCATGAATCGAAAGCGACATGATCGCCCAAGCGTGTGTCAAGTATGGCACTTCCCTGATAAGGCCACCCATATGATGTAAACGCGTTCTATTTTCAGATGGAAACGCAAATTTCCTCTATTTCATTTATCATTTCAAGTTTTCTAACATTCTATCCGCTACTTTCTCTATGCTCGTAAATATAAGAGGTCAGCGCTGGAAATATTCATGGCCAGACAATGCAGTCTTTCGAGAAAAAATTCTGACCTTTAGTTATTCTTTTTATACATTGGAATTGGGTCGAGACGAAAGCTTTTCCGAAAACACATCCCGTTATTTGTACAGAATAAATTAGCCGTCAGCACCAAGGGTCTAGAAAATAAATTTAAACCTAGAAAATAAAATAGATTCAAATAAGAGTCAGGAAATGATATCCATTTCCTTGTATGTGCACGGTCACTTCATGACGTTGGCGACCATTGCTCTCCACAATTTCCTGTCTTTTGTAATTGTTAATAAATTTTCACTTGTATTCTCTTCTAAACTATTTTTTTCTGGGCAAGATACTCACATGGTATGTGACCAGAGAGTAATGGATAGCGGCTATATATATATATATATATATATATATATATATATATATATATATATATATATATATATGTGTGTGTGTGTGAAAAATGTATGTATATAAATATAAATATATATATATATATATATATATATATATATATATATATATACATATATATATATATATATATATATATATATATATATATATATATATATATATATACATATATATATATATATATATATATATATATATATATATATATATATATATATGTATGTATGTATGTATATATATATATATATATTATATATATGCGGTACTTATTAGAAAGCGCTCAATATCGGAGACAGAACTAACATATTTGGTTGGATTGATGAGTTTGACCCTTTCACTCACGCTTTTGATCGTCAGACAAACCCCGACGATCGCAAAAGCGTGAAACCTATGGTCACAAACTCACATCAATCCAACCAAATATATATATATATATATATATATATATATATATATATATATATATGCTGGACTCTCCTATTGTGAACGATAAATGAAGATCAGCATTGGATGGTGCCTTTCGTTTTACACTTATGCATGCTAGCAGAGGCTATTGTGGAGAAAATCAGGTAAGGGAAAGATATATTTCATTTGTTCTCTCTTAAGTGTGATACGAGCCCAGTCTTGCTGCGAGCGACCAAGCCACACTGACAGATGAAGTTTGTTAAAGCAAGATTTTATTGGCGTCTCTGCTTCAGAGCTTGAAGAAGCTGATTATGGTGCTTCAGTCTATTGTCTTCAAAACCCTTTAACTTAATGAAACATGTCTTGTGCCACTCTTTGATTTTGGGGCTTCCCAGGTTTTCAGATCAAAATTGAGACACTTCAAGATGTCTCTCAATTTGTCTTTGTAGCCTAAGGGTGGACGTCCAACTGAACGCTTGGAATTTGGTAGTTGTCTATACAGCACCTTTTTTGAGAGCTTATGATCATCTAATCTCATAACATGAGCAACCCAACAAAACTGTATCTTTGCTAAAATGGTTTCGATGCCTGTGATGCTGTCGCATTTCTTCAGTATTTCACTCTTCCTGACCCT